GGAAGCAGGGGGGGCGGGGTCGCTCTGCTTTGGCTTTCTGGGGGATAAGTCAGGTTTGGGGAGGCCTTCTCGGGCTCAGGTTTGGGGGACGGAATCAGAGGGGTGCTCGCCCCCGAGCCGGAACTGGCCGCCGGGGCCGGGGCGTTTTTGGCCGCGTCCGCCTGGCCGGAGGCCGAGCAGTGCTTGTACACCACCTGGTCCGTGGCGTCCATGGAGTCCTCGGTCTGGCTCTCGTCCTGCGCGTCGTCGTCCTCGTCCTTGTAGCACTGCTTCTTCTGGTGCGTGATCAGGTCGAAGATGCGGGGGAACACCACGGAGCACTTCTTGCACTGGTACTGCATGTTGCTGGTGCGGATGTAGCGCTCGTTCGTCAGCTCGCGCTTCTCGCTGTCCTTGGCCTCGGCCTGGTTCTCGTAGCTCTTCCGGGCCTTCTGCCGCGCGTTCTGGAACCACACCACGATGACCCGGGTGGGGAGGTTGAGGACAGTGGAGAGCTGCTCGATCTCGTCGTCTTTGGGGTAAGCGTTGGTGTCAAAAAAGTCTTGCAGGACCCGCAGCTGGTAGTCGGTGAACCTGGTGCGGGACGACCTCTTGCTGAAAGCGGCGTCGGCCTTGTAGTGCTCCAGGGAGGCGGGCTGCGGGTCCAGGCGGAGGTCCTCCAGCACCGTGATGGGCGGGTTGCTGAAGTTGTAGGGCGAGTCCTTGTTCCTCTGCCGCTCCTTGAAGAGCGTGTTGCGGAACCAGTGCTTGATCACCTTCTGCGAGAGGCCCGACTTCTCCGCCATCTCCTGGATCTGCTCCTCGCTCGGGGAGTTGTTGATGTCGAAGTAAGCCCTCAGGATCTTGAGCTGGTCGTCCGTGATCCTGGTCCGCGGGCGCTTGAACTGCGAGTGCCGCAGGAAGTTGGGGTCGAGCCCGAGCTGCTGCTGGCACAGCTGGGTGAGGTCGGCGGACAGCGCGTCCATCTGGGGCAGCTGCAGGGCCAGCTGCGGGGGCAGCGCCGGGTGCTGCACGGGCTGCATCATGATGGAGGGGAAGAGAGGCAGGTCCAGGGACACGGGCAGCTGGACCTGCGGGGGCGCCGACGGAGGCGGCGGCGGGGGAGGCGGCGGGGGCAGGAGGGGGGTGGCGGGGGTGGGGGCGGCGTGGGGGGTGGAGCCTGCAGGGGAGCAGACACGGAGCTGGGCATCTTCACTGGCCCCAGGGGGCAGGCTGAGGGGGTGCCGGGGGCAGCGGGGGAGGAGGCGGCGGCGGAGGCGGCGTCTCTGGCGAAGGTGGTGAAATCGGGTAAAGCTTGTCGTAGGCCTCCCGGTACTGGCGAGCGAATCTTTCGAGGGCTCCGTAGGGGAAAAACTGCCCGTGCACGTGCTCCTGGTGGCTCTTCAAAATGAGGACATTGGAGAAGAGTTTCCCACACGTCCCGCATTCCAGCTTGTCCGAGCTGTCCCCGTCCCCGCCCCGGCCCTTCTTCTGCACCTTCTGCCGGTTCTCGTTGTACTGGATGACCAGCTCGAACCCGAAGTTCTCCAGCAAGGCCTTGGCCGCATTCCCCCTGGCCCCGGAGGCGATCCTCGGTGGCGGGATGGCTGGTTCCAGGGACTTGGGCTTCTTGGAGTCTTTGCCTTCTTTGAGTCCTTCCCCTTCGCTGGTAAATTCTGGCTTTGGTTTGTCTTGCTTTTCCGCACTCTCTTCGGCCTCCTTGTAAGAGGGCCCCTCCTTGGCGGCCGGGCCGTCGGCCCCCGCCAGGCTGGCCGGGTCGGGTTTTGGGAGCTTGCTGGCCGGCTGCGGCACCTGCTGCTGGGGGGGCGGCTTCTGAGACGGCAGCGGGGGCTGCGCGGCCTGGTACTGCTGTGCTTGCTGCTGCAGGAGCTGCAGCTGGGTTTGGCCGACGTGATGCTGGGTCTGAATCTGCTGCTTCAAGTCTTCGAGCAAGGATCCGGCCATGCCCGTCATGCCGGGCATCCCGAACGCGGCAGAGCCGGGCAGGCCCAGCTCCGGCCCCAGGCTGAACTCCGTGCCCGGGATGTAGAAAGGGAAGAGAAACTGAGGCTGCTGGAACTGCAGCAGAGCTTCGGGGGTCATGGGGAAATGCGGCAGGAAGGCGGGGTTGAGAAACTGCGGCTGGAAGAAGGCCGCCTGCTGCTGCAGCTCGTGCTGGAGCTGCATCTGAATCTGTGCTGGTGACTGCGGCGGGTGGTGCGGAGGCTGAGCGGAGAGGAGTTCCGGCGTTTGCTTTTTATTTAATTCTTTGGCATCTAAGTGGGTATCTTTGCTGCTGACGGAGGCTAAACTCATGGACTCTAACATCCCTGGGCCGGGACTGCCCACGCTGGCTGCGAGGCCGTGGCCGCCGGGCTCCAGCTTGGCGGCCCTGGCCTTGGTCTGGTGGAGCACCGACCGCATGTGGATTTCCAAGGTGGAGCTTTGGCTGTAGGCGACGTTGCAGATGCTGCACTTGTAGGGTTTGTTGTCGGCGCCGCTGCTGGTTTCTTGAGGAACGGGACTGGAGGCCTCCTGCAACACCTTTTTCAACTTATGCAGATGAGAAACGGAATTATAATGGACCAAGAGGATGTTCTTCTGGGTGAAGGACTCTTTACACACTGTACATTTATACGGGCGGGAAGGGTCGAGGAACTTTTCCATCGTAAAGTTGGGCCCTTTTCTGAAGGGCAAGGTCCGCTTTGGTTCAGAGCCCATGTCATCAGGAATGGAGCTACTGTCACTCCCGACGGGACTCGCCTTCCCCTCCTGGTCCACCTCGTACTCCCTCTCCATTTCCTGCTCCAGGGCGTGGTCGTCCGGGGCCAGGGCTTCGCTCTCGGCCCAGAGCTCTCCGTTCACGGGCAGGGAGGCGTACAGCTGCTGGAGTTCGGCTTCGCTCAGCTCGGGGTGGCCCGCTTCCAGGTGTTTTTTTAAAGCCTGGAATGTACGGAAGCTCCGCTGGCAGAGATTACACATCGTGGCGGCCCGGATCGCGTGGTACTGGGAATGGATCTGAAGCTTCTGCATCGTCTTGAAGGCCAGGCTGCAGTGGTTACAGCGGTACTTGTACACGTGGCGGTCGGAAACCGACAGCGGCTGCGGCTTCTGCTGCTCACTGAGTGGATCTGGTAGGGTGTCGGGGATTTTCACATCCTTGCTGCCACTTTTGTTCCATTCGGACACATCCATGGCTTCTTTAGCTGGTTTCTGCTCCTCGCTCTTTATTTCCACGCTGGCCTTTGCATCGTCAAGACCTGCCATACTTTTGTCATCCATTGGACTCTCGCCTGTGCGGGAGAAAGCACAAACAGATCGCTTACAGGGAGAAGGGATACAGGCTGATAAATATTGTAAGTAGGAACCTCTACAGGTTTCTGTTTAATTGATTCCTTAGAGCAGTGGTTCCCAAACTTATTTGGCCTACCGTCCCCTTTCCAGAAAAAATAATTACTCAGCGCCCCCTGGAAATTAATTTTTTTAAAATTTTAATAGCAATTAAACAGAAAGATATATGTATTAATGTTTCTACCTTTTTCGTAAAATATAGTAAAGAAAGGTGTAAATTAGAAACATTGAAGTTTGAAATTATGAAACTATTTATTGAACTCAGAATAGAAAGGTAATACAAAAAAAGTTAAAACAAATGCACCTGTGGCCATCACTGCCCCCCTGGATCGCTGCAGTGCCCACCAGGGGGCGGTAGCGCCCCCTTTGGGAATCACTGCCTTAGAGAAATATTTATTGAGCAACTACTACGTTGCAAGCATTATGAGAGGCACTGTGGATACAAAGGTGAATATCAAATCACCTGACCTTGAGGAATTTCAGGATACAGAAGAAAAGAACTCAAAGGTAATTACAGTATGCTGCATACAATCAGTGTGACACCAAGGGCCAGGCCTCAGTGTCCAGGAATTAGAGCAAAGAATATTCTCGGTCATTGACACTCGGCAGTGACAGACAGCCAGACACTAAACATGCATGGAAAACTATGGCTCTTCGGATATATTTTTCCTCTGTGCCTTTGTTCTAACTCTTCGATAGTAAAACCCTTGGCACATCACCACAAACACAAGCCTTGAAGCGTGTTTTCTGCAGACCACAGTCACAGGCGGGCATACCTGAGTACTTCCCCGACCCCTCGGCTGTGCCGGCCGCAGGTGTGTCCCGCTCTGATTTCTCGGAGGCAGCTGCGGGCAGCAGCAAACTGTTTGGCATCATCACATCGGGCACAGGCACCTGTGAAGACCAAAAGGCTCATGTCAAAGGTCCCCCAACATTCAAAAATGCCACCACTGCTGCCACTGGGCAGTCGCATCCCACTTAGATTTTTCCAGCCAAAGCAGGGACACTTGGTGGCCCTTACAGGCCACTGCTCTCCCTTCTAATTTCAGATCAACACCATTACAATGCTGTATTCTTTCTTGCCCTTTTTAAAACTGTTTTTGTAGGTCTATGTCTTTATCCTGATACTCAAAGTTTGAAACTCAATGTGTCCATGTGACTCATCTTTATAACATTATAGATATAAACACGAGACTGTAAAATATGTGTTACTGAATAATCTATGCCCGTATCGTATTTATTTTCCTACCAAAGAGACAACAGAGGGGCCTTGGACTGTGATTTCTACAACACAGTCAGGGAAACAACTTTGTGTCGCGAAGAAGAAATACATTCCTATGGACCGATAAGTGCAGGTTTGGTGTTGCTACCTTTCCAGAGATTACGTCACACGCACGTCAACATGTGGGGTCCTTACTGTCATGAGCAGCTTCTCCACGCAGTCCGGGGAGACGCTGTGCAGGTGCGTCAAGTGCAGCTGCAGGTGCATCTTGTTGCTGAGGACGTCCTGGCAGAGGGGACAGCAGACGACCGGCTGCACCGAGTGCTGTGACAGGACGTGCATCTGGATGCGACTTTGGTCCCTACTATTGTAGTTACAATAAGGACACTGATAGAACTGGAAGACAGTGAACAGACATGGCATATGCTATCGTTAGTCTGAGGGCTTCAGGGCATCAGCAGGAATACCGAGGGCTCATTTGTCACCAATCGCATTTGTTACCATGCTAAGTTTCAATAGCATGGAATCGTTGGGGGCTCTAACACTACCAGGAGCAATAATAAATAAATTAAAATTAAAAATAGGTTTATATAGCAAAGGGAGGAAAAAATGTATTTACCTGTTCGTGACAGAATTTATTGTCCTCTGTAGCTTTCGATCGTTTTGTTGTGACATCTTCTTCCTTTGCCAGCAGGAGTGGCGGGGTCACACCCGCCACACTGACTTTTAGCTCCTTCTCTGGTGTGATTATTCCTGATTCCACCCCCCAGAAAAACAGAACGTGTCAACTTCAAAAGACTAACAACGTCAAACCTGAAAGATTCTATGTTTTTCATCTAGCGCTGACTCTAAACCCACAGAACCACAAAAGGAACTGGACAAGCACTTATAAATGATGCTAATCTCAAAAGGCAAGATGCACACTTCTTTGTGTCCACCGACTAAGTGGACTTTATAAATATATTTTAAAATGTACTCCTGTCTCATGTTTAGATAACCCTCGATGACCTTGAGAGACTCATCAATAACACGTGCTCACTGGTGTCTCAGGCTGCCTTTATCACATTAAAGCAAATCTCCCATTCACAAATGCTAACTTAGAAAATAACTCTTTTTACTGATGTTTAATTGCCTATCTCTTTTCTAAAATTCTTGATCACAGGAAACATTTCAAAATTCTGAGAAGAGCTAACTACTTATAATTCAGAAACAAAGACAGCAATTTTATGTGGTGAGTATAGGACTTAAACATTAACTATACATGTCTCCTGCTGTTTTTGCAATTTACTCTTTGCTTTACATGTTAGACCGTACATATAACATTTATAGTTCACATCTCAAGAAGATGGCTGTTTTATGAGGTTCATCCAAATATTCAGTGTTAAGGGGGTTTAAAATTTTGCCTAGATAAGCAATGTCACGTATAGGAGCCTCACACACATCAAAGAAAAAGAGTGTGATTCTAATTTCCCAATCTAACAGAAAATTCTTTCCAGCATCAATTTTCCCGATAATCTCCTCTGTGAGGCTGGATATTACAGCGACATTGGGTAGGCATGTCACATACATCTCACGACAAACACAAAACCTCATTTACCAGCCATTCCAATCTCATCATAGCACGGCGTCATCTGACCTTTTTTCTGCTGTTTATTATGAGTATTTCTAATTTTAACTTTCAATTTTCACCATCTTCCAGTCAATTTGCAACTAAATTATTTCCAGGGTGAGGATACTATCACTGGACAACTGGGTGCAAATACATGTTGAAATGCAATGAAGCTAAACCATTGATTGCTATCAGCCCCCGCGTGAATATAGAGTCTGGGCGTAATCTGATTGTATGCTGTGCATGAAGATTTATCTTGATTTTTTTTTCAATCCACATACGGTTCATATAAATGAACAAATTGCACCTTATTGCGAAATAGCCCAGTTTTAATTTAAAAATAAGGTCAAGGATGTTGGAAACAAAGTAAAGATGAACCAAAAACTACATTCTTTTTTCAATCCTGGATAGAGCTGATGCATGTTTAAACCATATAAACATTTTCAGAAATTTTGAATTCTGAAAGAAATTTAAAAGCAAGCATTTTAAATTTTGGACTCCAAGGACACCAAAATGAAAGTAGACTTTCAATGACAGAATGACAATCATGGTAGGTATAGATTTGGTGATGTTTTCAAATAATTATACTGATTTCTAGATTTACAAACATTAGATTTTATTTGAATTGTTACATGTGCCCTATATCTACAGATGCCTTGGAGAAATTTAGGTTCCTTCTAGATATTTGAAAAAAATAACTGATCACATTTGTATTTGAATGAACTTAAATTTGAATATAGACTGAAGACCTTCATCATATCGATAAAACACAATCCAAGTATTTGATATCCAAAGATATGTCAGAAACAGGAATGTTTATTTCATAATTAATTATGGCATCAAAAAATAGGTTTTTCTTTCTCAAAGCAGAATGTACTTTGTGGTGTTGTATTTAAAGTGCTAAAATATTCAAGAAAATAATATATATAATGTTTGCAAATAAAATTTAGGGCTTAAAATGTCAGTTCAAGTTGTATAAAGTGATTGTCATTCACATCAGGAATGTTTATCCCTCACTTTCTTCTTTGAGACAAGAAGATTTTTTTAAGTCCCCCATTAATGAGTAAGAATATGCTCCTTTAAGAATCTAATACTCTCATATTCCCTTATCATTCCTTTGTGCACATGGTAGAATGAGACATAACCAAATTATAAGCTTGTCCATTTCCCTATGCTATCAAAGACTGTCACACACAAATTAAAAGAGAATTTCCATGACTCTTGTTGCTTGCAGACCCTATGGGGTATCAGCAATAGAAAAAAACCTTCCAGAAACTTTTAAATCTATTAAATGAGCAGTTATGGCCTTATTATCATAAGCATAAATATTCTAATATTGGTACTGTACAAGATAAAAAAACACTGATTTTAAGCTATGAGACATTTTACTACAACTATACTATAAATCAGTGATGGTGAACCTATGACACGCGTGTCAGAGGTGACACGCGAACTCATTTTTTTGGTTGATTTTTCTGTGTTAAATGGCATTTAAATATATAAAATAAATATCAAAAATATAAGTCTGTTTTACGATGGTTGCAAATATCAAAAAATTTCTATATGTGACACGGCACCAGAGTTAAGTTAGGGTTTTTCAAAATGCTGACACGCTGAGCTCAAAAGGTTCGCCATCACTGCTATAAATTGAGGTACATATTTGGTATAATAAATCCATGTTATTTTTATGCTTATTAATATTCATTAATGATGTAGTTGCTTTTGAATTTAGTGACATTCGTGCTGCATCAAGAAAATAAAAGCTTTAGGGTCATTTTATAACCATTGCAATGGCTATTGGCTATAGTATTCCACCCCGTATATAGGTCAACTTCAATATTTTTTTGTGTGTAATTAACTTAATTAAACCATGATCTTAGGAAAGCTAGAAGCTGTGTAAAGACCATTTTATTTTACATTAAAAAGAAGTATAAATACAAATTAGATTCCACCACCCCCAGCTGTGTCTAGGCACCCCAGAAATGCATGCCATTGAGAGGAAGAAGCAAGAATGCTGAGCTGGAATAACACAGGACAGAAACAGACCACAAGGACAGGCAGGCCATCAGGGTTATTTGCAAAGTGATGGAAATCACATTTCATGATTGTGAGCTTTTTCTACTTTTCAAAGGGGTGTAATCTCAGGGACTATGGCCTTCTTGGTAAACTGCAAGGACTCAACTTCAAGGTCTCTCTCTGAATTGTTTTATTCTAGAAATATATTAAATAAGGGCCAATTTTAGGAGAGTTTTGATTAAGTTCTGTGATTACTCATAGTTTATGCCTACAACTTTATTTGAAATAAATCCAGTTTGATACCCTAGAGAAAAATTTTAGGTGAGATCATAATTCATTTTGTGTTCGTTAAGGACATCATAATATCCTCTAAAAACAATGCTCTTTTAACATATTTAAACTAAGAAATGCAGTCTAATTACAAGTAAGCACTGCCATATAGATGAGCCAATTACCTGTCAGTTATGTGGTTATGTAACTTGCATGAGATAACAATATAAAAATGACATAATTCATTTCCATTCAGATGCTGCCTACTTAATAATTTTCAACCCTTAAAATACAGAAGATTGTAAAATGGTTTATACTCATAATAAATGAGGAAAATCCAATAACACATATGTACTCAAAGCAAATCTTGAAAAAACAATAAAACAAAACAGTTATTTTTAAATATTTTATGAATCAATGTATTTGATAATATTTGAATACTATAAAACTTGAATCTAACAGAAGAGGTTATTCAATGCCAAATAATTCCAAATGATAATTACCAGTAAAGTATTCTTTCTAATGAGACTGGAATGAAAGGATAATTTTAATTGCAATAATGAAGGTTAATTTCCATCTTTCCTCGTGTTTACTCCCTTATTAAAAAGTGGTCCCCTTAGCCATGGCAGAGACATATTACATTTTCAATGCAAATGTATTAATCTGGATAAACTCTATATTAATTCTTGTACTGCACAGAGCTGTAATTTGGATTATAATTAATCTAAAGTGGCACTAGATTTAAATGACAATATAAATGAGGCATTAGGAGGCTTTTCTATTATGAATGAATATTCAACAAATACAACTTGCATATTGCCAAGTCTCATTTTGAAAGCTCCAGTCCTGGAGATTAATGTCCGCAACTCTGCACAACAGCTTACACAAACAGGGTCTTTCTAACACGTGTTAATTCCTTCCTGTCTCAAAAATTCAGTGCTCAAGTGGAGACACGCTGTTTTCCCATCTAACACACTAAGATAGTGATTAATTTTGCTCGTATTTTTTGACATTTATAACTGACATAAGAAGAAAAACAATATATACATAAGTGGTTATTCAATCTTTAGCAGTATTTACAAGGAAAAAAATCCATGTAATAGTTTTTCACCTAATCAGATTCCATTTAGAAGGCAGAAAACTTGGTTAAAAGTTCATGCCAGTTGTCAATAGCAAGAATTGTCTTGAAGTCTGGGAGGTTTCAAGGCTAAATGTTTGCATCTCAGTAATTTCTTTTAGTTGGTTTTAAAGTTCATTTTATCCACTTAGATATACCTGGGGAGGCATTTCTGCAGGGATAAAATGGGTTTTAAACAACTCCCATTATGCAATGCTCTGTGTCCTCTCCTGTGCTCCAGTCCTGTTCAATGGTACCAGTAGGCACCTGAGAAGGGACACTCACTCACCAGGCCATTAGGAAGTGATGAGCCCATCATTTATGCAGAGAAATGAACTTTACTGGTGGGGATGGAGTGCCTGTGTCTGAGGTGGTGTTCCAGGTAACACTCCTCCCTCAATGTAAGATTGGAGCCATTTTCAAGAGATTCCAGAATCCATCCTTTATAGCAGGGGTCCTCAAACTTTTTAAACAGGGCGCCAGTTCACTGTCCCTCAGACCGTTGGAGGGCCAGACACACAAAACTAGTCAGCTGCTAAGCAACAGGCAGCGGCGGCGGCAAAAACACCCGGCGGGCCGCATGTGGCCCGCGGGCCGTAGTTTGAGGACCCCTGCTTTATAGGGTGTTAGATATTTAAAACCAAGCATAATGTCACGCACCTGAGTATGAGAGCATTCAGTGTAACACGAATGTCACACGTTCTTCTGAAGGCTCGGGGGGCGGGGGGCGCTCCTCTACAATCTGTCAGTATGACTGTGAGAGGGGCACCACTGAACACAGGCAGGACCCTGCCCTTCCAGAAGCAAGCAGGCAAGCAGCGGGCCCTGATGAGGTCCATCCTCCAGAGTGAATCAACTGACTACCTTGCTATTTCCAACTCTTCAAATAAGGTTTAGACAGCACTACCCTTGACCTTAACCAATTGCCAGATACTTCAAACTCCTGGTCAGTAACCCCAAGAGCCGAGTTCCTAACACACAGCTATGGCATCTTTTTCACATTGCTTTCGGCTCAATACCAACCTCACATCTTCTTTGTTTAAGGCAAATTGGAATCATATGTTCACCACTAGATCCTCGGCGCAAATGGAAGTGGCGCTTTCCCACTGGACTCCTGAGAGCAATTTAGCATCGAACTGCGTGGGGTGGGAGCAGGGAGGCCCTTGGAGTAATTTTTGAAGGGAATGCAAAACCAAGATACGCAGATGACTGAATTACAAATGTGGGATAATTCAGGCTTAAATGGACTTGCACATGAAAATGGTATATATATCTTTTTGCACAACCCAATGTCTTCATAGTGAAAACGAGCTTCTTTATGGGAGACTGTCACTAGAACTCAAGGAGAAGATAGATGACTACCTGAAGCTAATAGGCTTGAACCCGCTGCAGCAGTTCTCCTGCTTCAATGAGCCCAACATCATAAAACTAGGTACAGCGTGCAGCAAAAGTAGCCAATGTAATATTTATTCATCGCGACCGTAGATTTCCATCTCATACATACAAAGTATGGATGAAGTCATATATTTGCCAAATCAAACACAGGAAAAGCCTTAGGTATCCGCACCAGATGCTGGCCTAGGGTTTGTTTGTGCACAAGTAAATGTCATGACATGAAGGTTTGTTTTCCGAGACAGTAGCTTTCATTACTGGGATTTGTCTATTCTAGAAGATCAAAATTACCCAGCATCTAATCCCTTTTCAATGATATTTCCTCTTTCTTAGGCTGAATCATCTGTAAACTTTTTTCACTGGATTTCGTTTGAAATGCTTCAAATAGATGCCCTTAAAAAGGGCAAATTCCTGAGTGTACATTGTAAAAGAAAAAAAAAAGAGAAAAAATAACATTTATTTTTAGGGTTACGTGGTTGGTGTGTGTGTGTGTGGGGGGGTGTCTGTGATTGAATGAAAAAATCCAAGTGATATCTAATCCTGCGCTTATGAAAAATTAATATGCCATCAGAGGAATCACAAGTATAGCTAAGATTAATGAAAGGCGCTTAAAAAATTACAAGCACACAAACTGATTTGATTAAAAAATAATCTCGCTGGTCGTCCTGTAATATTCTTCAACTTACCCACATCTATTCTGTCAGATGGTTATGATTAAAAATAGGTCAATGGGAGGCTACTGATAGAAGTCACATGCAAAATGCGCATGCGATGGATAGCAGTGGAAATGTTAGACAGTTTCAAATGAATAAAAGCTTTTAATAAGTGTGGGGATGGGGTGAAGGCAGGGCTGATTTGGGGGTGTGGGGGTGGGGGAAGAAAAGGGAAGGGTCTAGCATCTTACCGGGGTCTTTGCTGGAGGAGTTTTTGCCTTCACCAGGGTCTCTCTCATTTGTGTCTTTCTCATCCTCCTCGGCCACTGGTGTCGGCTTAAGAGGTCCTTCTGCCTCCTCACTTGGCTCTTCTGTTCAGAAAGGCAAACTGGTCAGTAGGATTGGACACTCCCCCCCCCCATATGCACACTCAAATAATTACGTGACCATTTACAAACTTGGTCACCTATGAACCATCTGCAGACACCCATTCTCCAAAGAGGACATACATTTATTCAAAACCTCAGAACCGGATGATGGTACCAATGCAAATGTTTATCTCAAGCAACTTCTTTTATATCCACTGAGCACATGGGCCGGTACTCAAAGAGAAGAAATCACTTTAAGCACAGGTGAAGCCAGGAAAGCTGGAAACATGGGTGGGAGGCAGTTCTGTCATAATAGAAGCTTCTACGCCACATGGACCCCCTGTTCCATGGACTTGGGTAGATGGCAGAACAAACCAAATCCCTAGAAAAAAATCCTCCATGAAAGGATGGGACAGTGATGGGTTAACCATAAGACAGGTGTTCCTCCTGCCTTCAGTCCCCGGACCCCAGAGGAATTCTTTGGAATTCATCTGAGTAGGATCTCAAAAGTTCAGTTGCACTGGGATTTGTTTTTCTCTATAGGGGGAGCTATACAGGACGCAGGACATAAGAAGGTCTATTTCTTCCATGACAACCACATCACCCCACACCTCATTCACGGGTTCACACCAGCTAGATTACATGGAAATCCTCATAGTAACTCAACCCTATTTAATTATTCCGTAAATCTGAGGTGTGCCGCTGCCGGTGGGTTAATCTGTTTATGCAGTTAGCCTCCGTGCTGGATCTGGGCAGCACTAATCCGTGAACGGCCCACTGTTCTCCTCTAGCCTGTGATCATTTGTCTCTCACTGTGCTGATGTCACATTTTAATGAATTTTTAGCAATCCGAGTCATGCCAGATAGCCAGACTTGCACCTCCCAGCAGCAGGGCATGCTGTTTTCACGGCAGCACAAAATAATAAAAAATAAAAATCATATTCCCCCGTCCAGGTAGGAATTACATACATGAGGAGGAGAAGGTAAAATGAGATTTGAAGCACCAGGCTGCTCAATTTCATAAAATCTTTAATGACCAAATAAATTAACCCTGGAAAGGCAAAAGGTCACCGCCACATATGCATACACGTGTCTATTTGCTTTTGATAAGCAGAGCTTTTATGCGGAGAACATGATACAATTAACCCTTCAATAACCATACAAAACGCTGCTACGGACATTTTAAGTGTCAAGCATTAACCGAAAATTACACACTGCATAAAATTTTCATTGCAAATGCTGTAGTGATTGAAGGGGGAATCGCGGCCCTCTCCACACCCCATGTTTTATTAATAACATTCTGACAGCAGAATGAAATATCCACCGTCATGTGTAGCAGCTGAGCACACACAGAATGCTATTGAGTGTCTCCCTTGCCCACCCCGCTCTCTACCATGAGAGCAGGACACCGCACAGGGGACGGTGCTGGGCTCAGATGGGGCAGCTCCACAGCTAAGGGAAAGCAAGGCCAGGCGATACATCTGCAGTAAGGGTTTGCTTCCACTGTGCGTCCTCAACGGCCCCCACAGTCCATTTACCCTAGGTCTGCACTGTGCTGCTGAACAGCAGCAGCGGGGAGTTCCTGGTGGAGGAGTCAGGCGTCTGAGGGTTTGGGGGGAGTGTCCCTTTCAGGCAAATCACGTGGAGATTGTACTTTAGGAAGAGAGAACGACGCTTGTTAGGGCTCCAGCCTGCTTTCACCAGCCATGATCATCACTGATCAAACCCAGGCTCCTGCCCCCTGCATGAGGCCAGGCTGAGAGGGGACAGTGGCTGGCTTGGTGAGGGAGGGGGGGTGGCGGAGATCATGACCAGATTGGGCCGTGTCCCTGCCAAGTCCACACACGTGACGTGACACCCGGTGGCAGGCCTCGACCTGTGACAGCCCACGGCAATTACTCTCGGGCTCGTCCTGGGGAAGGGAGGCGAGACTTCTTTGAGTAGATTTACTGAACCTTTCCCCCAGGGCTGGAAAATGAAGTGTCACCGTGGTCCCGGTGTCCTTATCTTGAGGGGACATAAAATTGTAAGGGCTATCGCAACTCCCATTAATAAAACATGGGGTGTCAGGAGGAGAGGACGAAAATTATGAAGGTACTCCAAGAAAAACTACAGTGTAATCTGGGTCTCATCGCACGCTTTTCGCAGGGTCCGATTCTTCATTTTCTAGTATGTGTTTTAAGGGCAAGAGAAATTCCCAGACATGTTCCCCTATACATCACCGTGGTGCCTGACCTCCGCCTGACCCTGGCCACAGTTTGAGAAATCTGAATGTGAACAAAGCCTGTGTCAGCAGCACGGAGCGACCGCCATCAACTTAATCGCAAACAGCAGTTCTGAGGCCATAACTTGGCCCGGCTCGTCCAAGCCACAGCTCAGACCCTCCGGAGCTGGCTCTGCCCGCACAGCCTCTGCCGCTGGACATTGCCCCCCTCTCTTTTCTGGCTCTGCCTTTGAAGTCGGCGGGCAATTAGCTCTAATGCTCCAGCAATTCAGACCTGTTTTGTGGTTTCGAAGGCGAGAGCTGTTTATTACAGGTGGGCACTTTGGAGCCGTAGAAGTTTGCAAATTTGTAATCATGCAAAAAAGAATCAAAGGGTAACTTATATCCACCACCATAAAGTTTCATACGAGTCTAAAAAAAAAAAAGGCTCACTTTGGTTCTTAGAGTTTTTGAAATTAAGTTGACATTCGCTTTATAAATAGACTTTAGAGTTGGGAGGATTAATGTGGAGAAACCACTCTCTCCCTAGGAAAGCGGTACGTTGGCGTTGGGGTTGCGGGAGGAGTGGCTGAGTTCTGCTTCTCAAGTAGCAGCTTCCTCCATGTAAAATGCCATCGAGTGTAAGATGCGTTGTAGGAAATGAACCAACAAACAAAAATATATACGTGACGTTAAATGTGCTCAAGGGATGCGTTAGAACTAAGGGAAATGACATAAATTCAATTACGTAAAATTCCAAAATGAAGATACTAACTTACAGAAAATTCCCAAAGATGCTAATGCAGTTGTCATTTTCACCAATAAGCTTCTTCACTAATATAGTACATGTAATCCTAATAAAGGTATTGTAACATTTCATAATACTGTTGCTTTCACAGCATATATATCTTGATTCTTTTGCTTTATGTAATATAAAAAACACACTATTTATTCATATATTAAACATTAAGATAGGAATGTAGTTAAGCTTAAAATGAACACAGGAGTCCATTAGGACTTCCCAGTTTTCAGACAAATAGTATACATTTTTATTTTTAAATGTTCTGAAATAATACTGTAGTCTTATAGAAGTTCAGTACAATTAATTTCCCGTAGCATTTTTATCATAGATAAAATGATGATCTTATAAAAGTTATTTTGTATATACACATAAACTATTTTTAAAAGAAATGTTTTGAATGACTAGCTCAGAGTATTTTCATTTGAATAATGAAAATGATTAGAAAATCTCAATTTATTCTATAAAATCATAATACACATTTTAAAGCACATCTACACCAGTGATACACTGCTGATCTAGGAGCCAGCCAACTGCCCTTGGTTCCCGGGCTTTCTCCCACAGTGCGCTTGGGAACCTTCTCTCTGAGTCCTCGAAGGCAGCGGTCGCCAACCGGAGGTCCCTGAGGTCCGAAAGGTTGGAGACCGCTGCTCTAAGGAAAGCGTTGCACACTTTTTAGCCCATGAAGTAATCATATAAAGAGGAAGCAGAGGACAGTGAGTAACTTAAATATCTTTAGTTTTATATACTGAGCATCTCTTCAAAGCACCTGGCTTGTAAGAATTCTTCCCTGGACGCCTGCACTCTCTCCCTGTCCAGTCCCACCACCAACCTCCAAATCCACCCTCTGTATGAGCTACTTCAACCTACTGAAATCTTCTAGTGACTCACTACAAGCAAAAGTTCAATCTTCTGTGCACGGAAAGAATACCTCCGAGATACCTGGTCCTTGTCCACCACTCCAGTCTCATTTTTTTTTCACTTCCTACCTAGCACTTAATGCTTAAAACAACAAACAAACAACCCTTGTGGGTGTGGCTCAGTTGGCTGAGCATTGTCCTGTGCACCAGGTCACAGGTTCAATTTCTGGTCAGGGCAGTGCACGGTCTAGGTGTGTGCAGGAGGCAACCAATTGATGTTTCTATCTCATATCACATCAATATTTCTCTCTTTCTCTCCCTCTCCCTTTCTCTTTCTCTAAAATCAATAAAAACATTTTTTAAATTGCATCATCAGAGTCACCTGTTAGACTTGTTAGAAATCAGACTGTGTGCTCCACCCCTGGAATTTATAATTCAGGAGGTTTAGAGGGAGGCCTGGGAATTTATATCTCTACGCTCCCAGGTGAAGATGATGCTTCTAATCCAAGGATCACATTTCATGAACCACTATTCTAGAAACACGTGACTGTTATTAATGTTGCCTTCCAGTACATAGCATTATATTTCCCTGTCTTATCTAGGACAACTTCTCTACACTGTATATGTTTTTCCTTTAAGCCCAGCTTGGGAAATACCAGTTTCATCATCTGTAAAAAATGGAAGTAACAATGCCTACCTCACTGGTTTGTTATAATATATAAAAATCAGTCAGCACATAGCGTAACAAACTAAGTGTTTCAAAATGCTGGCTGTGTTATTACTATTAATTATTTCTTTATCCAAAAAGTCTTACCTAAATCTGGAATTGGGATTAATGTTTCTGAATAAGATTTTCTTCTTTTTTCTCTACATGGATGTCAAACTACTTACCACAGTATTTGGAAATGATCCCTGTACTGTGCCTATTTTCCCTAATAGCTACACATTTACTGAAAATAGTGATTATCTTATTGCTCCTTGTGCCAGAGCACCTGGAACAGTGCCTGGAATAGAGTAGGCAGGCAATACAGATTTGTTGAAACACTAAATTGAATTTAGGATGCAAAATTGAAGAAGAAGAGGAGGCATCCAGACGCTATGCCATTCTTCTATTCCCCTTCAATAAAACTCGAAAAGGAGTATTTGTTTGTTTGGATTGGTGTCGGTCTGGTTTGGGTGTCCTTACATTTTCTCTTTCTACTAAAAGTGAATTCATTATCCAACCCTCCAGTCTGACTTCACACCAATTGTTCCTCTCAAAGCCACCGACAACTGCCAAGCTGTGAAATCCAGTGGCCATGAAGGTGTCTGCTCAGCAGATGTATCACACCCTCCTCCTGGGGACCACACCTGACAACCTTGCTTGAGCACTGTACGTCTCTTTCTTCCTTGATCTCATTTACTACAATCTGCAAATAACTTATTTATTTGTATAGACATGTTGTCCAAAAATCTTATTCAAGACTTACGCCCAGCAGTCACTGGCACTAATACTTTGAGCGAAGTCGATGACTCCTAGTTTTCTTACTCAGGGTAACTGGGTCTATGGCATGATGTCATCAGTTGAAATGAAGAAAAAGAGGAGAAGAAATGGTTTTGCAGAAAAGAGAAGTTCAATTTGGAATTTGTTATATTTGACTTCCCTATAGAACATCTCCATGGAAATATGCAGAAGGCATGGGAACATCTAAATATAAAGTTTCTCAGAGAGACTGAGTAAAGATGGAGATTTTGTAAACAAAGACAATAAATAAATATGTCAACAGGGAGTGGTATCCTTTTATTTTGACAATTTTGGTCAGAGCCTTGATTTTGCCCTATTATTTCCAATCAGGTCATTAATGAAATCTTTTCATTGATTTGAGGTGAGGAAGGCAAATTGGGCTTGTACTATTTTATCTTAAGTATGCTCTCTAATTTTCTAGAAAATAACATATGTAATAAAAAAGTTTTTATGAGAGATGCATAGGTGAAGGTAAACTCTGAATAATTTTTGACGGAAATCCTGACTTTATATTGCAGGAATGTTTTCACTTGCAAAACTGTTTTTGGGGTTTTTTTGTAAAGTATTTCAATACCCCATTATGAATGCGAAGGACTTTTTATAATCATTTTTTGTTCTATATAACACATTATTATTCCAATTGTATAAATCTGGGAACTGGGATCATGTTTATATAGCAGAAATAAATGAGGTGTGTTGTAGCAACATGGGTGAGTTTCCTCTTAAATTATCTGAATATAATGCAGCTAACAAGGCCTGGCTGCCATTTTTTAACATACACATATACACACAAAGCACAGGGAATAGTAAATGTGTTGACATGGCTACACAAAATCCAATCAAACCATTGACTGCCAAAAATAACTCCACCAACCAGGTTTTTTTAATTGTGTAAAAATAATATCTGGCTTTCTGGCTTATCCTTTGTATAAAATTGACCACTTCGGTGAAACTTCACAGTGTACAAATGCAGATGTGAGAAATTATCCAGCAGATGTTACTCATTCTTTAAAAAAAGTCACTTTACATAGGCATCCAAATATACAGATATATTTGCTTTTGCTATTAACTTGTTTCTATAAGGGATCTGATCAAATCTAATTGGAGCAGTTCCAGAGATCCGTGCATTACATAAATGATGAGAGTAACAACTGTAGGACAGACAGACACGATTTTGAGAAGGAACAGACCAATTACCTGAGGTCACCCTCAGCTGCTGCTCCGACAGGTCATCCTCACAGGTCCTGGCTCCCAAAGAGGCAGATTCTGCAGAGAACATCGGAGTGAAAGGTGGTCAGCTCTGCAGTCACAGCCAACAGCACCAGAACCCCATTTGGCTTTCACTGGGATAAGTATGTGGTGGGGCGCAGGGGAGTCTTAGGAACATCTTACATCCTAGTGAGCAGTGGTTAGCAAGGTGAGTCAGACAGGGGTGCCCTGAGATCGAATTTCCGATGATGGGCAGTGCACAGTGAACACCACAATGTAGTTCAAATATAGAAGCAGGAAAGGCTCGTTGTGACTTGGGTCTCTGGCCAAGCCTACATTATAGAGACCATGGCACATGACATAAATTATAAGCATGTTTTTACTTCTCTGTCAAAGTAGCAAAAAACAACAACAGTAACAACAACAGAAACCCTCAATATATGGTAGCTGCTGTGAGACCAAAGCTGAAAACAATCACTTCAGGAAACCTAAAGAGTATGTCCAAGTCATCAATAAACGCAATAGGAGACCCTGCTTTTTTATTTGCGCTCCACAACAGAAGGCCAGCGATGGCCTGGTTTGCTCAACTCAACCCCAAACACAAATCATGATTTTCATCCAATTCCATGCTTCCTTTGCATTTCCTATTGTAGGGAAATCTAGAAAAAAACAACTAGGCCTTAGAAATCAACACCAACACCTCCCTCTTCCTCCCCACTGAGTCATCACTCACTCTTGGTTCGATTTGACAACAGCCCCTGTCCCGTGTGTTTCTCTGGTCCCCCGTCACCCTCACATTTCTGGCAATTTCAGTAGCTTCCAGAGCAATCTCCCTGCCTCGAATTCCAATCTAATCTCTCATAATATCTTGAGAGCTATTTTTCAAGAATACAGAATTGCATGAGCACAAATCCTGGCTCTACCACTTTCTAGATATAGGACCTTTATATACCACTCAATCCCCTCATTTGTAAAATGCAGCTATAATCAGTAATTGCAAGGGAAACTAATACAAACATGATATGGTCTTCCAAGCGAAAAAAAGGCCAAATCTTATTGACAAATTTAAAAAAGTGGTCACGAGATTCTTACACTGACAAAGACAGTCATGCTCATCTAGCAATAGCATCTCTGGTTGATTCTGAAGGTTTTAATTAAACAAATAATTAACCTTGAAAACAGAAGTGCACACCAAGGCACTATTATTGCTTTTGCTAATTGTTGTTCCTCCTATGTATAAAACCTTTGGCCTTTGGTGGTAATCTACTTAAAAATAATACAATCAGTACAAATACTCAGTAGCTTCCCATCACCAACTAAAAACATTATGTTTTCTTGTAACCGTCTCTTACATTTGTCTGGAAAGGAAGAATTTATCCTCAGTCTTTGCTTATAAATCCAGCAATAGCTCCCAAACAGATCACAGTACTGAAGCCCATCCTACATGCCACTCAAGAAGCCCACCTTCTTCCGCACGATCGATATCTCTCTCTCTCTCTCTCTCTCTCTCTCTCTCTTTCTCTCTCTCTCTCGTCTTGATGCCTTGAGCAATGTTGTTCCTGGTATTTGTTTAATGTCTTTTTGTTTTACCATGTTAAACTCTTATTCTTCCCTCAAAATCCAAAGCAAGTGTCACCTCCTCCATGCTCCCATAACAATTAGCTTACACATATGTGACAGGAATTAGTGTCTGTGTTTGGTATAATTGAAAGAGCTCTGAATTTAGAGTCCCAGGCTCTGGGATACTACATGAAATTCTCATTTTGATATTCACCTGTTTTAGGATACTTTTATTCAAAATCCTCATCCATGCCTTATAACCTTAAACAGATGACTACAAAAAGACACTAATTCCTGTCACATATATGAATGTGCGTGAAAAGCAACTTTCCCCTCTTTTCTAGCAAAAAAAGAATAATTTGTCAAGGAACCCTTAGTGCTTTACACACACACACCAATCATGTATTAAAGAGACTTGTTCAAATAGATATCAGCAGTACTTCAGTGAGCTAGACCAAATGACTGCTATCCTTAAAGATACATTAAGATAAAAATAAAGCAATGACAACTTAGTAAGAGTGTATCTCTGCTGGGTACTGTGATAGCTACTCGTATAAAAACAGGCATGCAGTCCCCACAATCAAATCACGAGGCTTGCTTAGTCCTGATTTTACACATCAGGAGGCTGGGGCACAGAGAGGTTGAGGTAGCCCTCTGTCCTCAGGCTCCAAGTGTGAGCCTGACAAGCTTGGAACAAACCCCAGGGCTCCTGGTACAAAACTCGGAGGAATTTGGGATGTGTTCAGTCGGAAGAACACAATAGTTAGGAGCCTAGAAAAGTTTCCTATCTTTGTGAAGGCCAGAAACCAAGAGGGAAAAAGAAAAAAAACAACAAAAAAAAACAGCAACTGTTCACTAGCAACTGTTCACTAGTCCTGCGAACATTCTGATATTTCATAAAAGATTTATATTCTTTGAATATAAAATGTGACCAAATAATCATTTGGTACCACATGGAAATCATTTCATTTGAGAGTGATTTAAGGAGATGTACAAAATGTCCAAACCAGAAACTGTTTTTGAACCTCACAAATTAGGTCACGTGGCACTGGAGTCGGGCCCAGTGAGAGTGGCTGGGGCGAGTGAGTTCATAAATGAATGTCGTTCAGTACACCAGCAACTTTTTTTTAGATTCTCAACAGTGTTGCTCCCTTTATATAAATGAAAACATTTTAATAAAGGAGCTTTTAGCTTATCAAACTGGTTAACTTACACTTCTCTGCTGGTGTAAAATGAATTGTGCAAAATCTGGCAATGAACACAGCATCTTTCAATATTTCCCTCGCATAATTGCTCTGTAATAACAAATCTGACTGCGGTTAACACGGTCTGTCCCTTTCGAGGGTGATTTAATTAGATTACTAATTTGTGTTCTCTAGCACCTAACCTTTCTGGTTTAATACTATTAAAAATAGTACCACTGACAGTTTATCCAGTACTCTACTCTATTCTGTCAATTTGGCAATGATCACAGATTTGAAAATGGTACCAGATTACTCTATTTTGATTAACAAAACGTGGACCACGTTTTTCTGTGGAATAGTGTATCGATCATCACCATCACCATCCTCAACAACAACACTTACAGAGGACTTGCTCTGTTCCAGGTGTGACTGATGGACACCCCAAGCAATGGGCGGAGCTAGGATTTGAATGCACACAGCCTTATTCCACGGATCATCCTCTTAACCACAATGACATACTGAGCCACATATTTAAGATCCTAAAAGTAGTTTTTCTCTTAATTCTGCAATTATTCCTCATGTTCATTTTTTCTCATTTGGCCTGAATTCTAACCACCTATGCTCTTAGCCTAACTCAAAGGGTTCCACTCCCAATGCAATGCTTAAAACCTAAATTTTGGGGATTCCTCTTCCCTTTAATTGATAAGAATGGATGTTCTCACAGTTCTCTCTCATTTCCTTGCATTGTGACATCCCCTTACTAACTCTCCATCTCATTTCTCCTTCTGACCTTTCCCTTCTATTATACAGGGGCCCTGATTGCCCTGCCAGTTGCCCCACAGATCAGCCCTGATCGCCAGCTAGGCCTAGGGACCCTACCCATGCACAAATTTCATGCACCGGGCCTCTAGTCTATATATAAAAAAGGCTAATATGCAAAGTGTCCCCTCGGGAGTTCTATCACTTGCTATGATGTGCACTGACCACCAGGGGGCGGTGCAGAATGAAGAAAGGCCCCAGCCAGCGGCAGGCAGCTGGGGGAGGAAGGTCCCAGCTGGCAGCCAGAAGGAAGCCCCCTGCAGTCAGCCAAAAGGCCCTGATTGGCCCTGATAGCTGGCCAGGCCTAGGGACCCTACCCATGTACAAAATTCATGCACCGGGCCTGTAGTTGGAATAATATTTTTTTAAAAAAGATAATCATTAAAAACCTGGTCAGGGAAAGATCTGGAATTTTATTAAACAGTCTAGATACATAAACAGAATTCTAAGTTTAAGGTTTCTTGTTGTGTTTGTGGAATAAATGTAATCTAATCTGCAATTGATGATTGCAACAGCCATATGTTTTTTATATTCTTATCAGCAAAATTTGGGAAGCATTTGGCACAAGTTCAGTAGAAAATAGAATTTTTAAAACAATGGGTGAATGTTTAAGCTGCCAAGTATTATACTAGGGTAGGATTTGCCTACAAAACTCCCACATCTCACCCCTACTGATTTGTTAATGCATCAAACAATAAGGTGTATCACTATTTTTATTTTTTTAATTTTAATATATTTTTTAGTGATTTCACAGAGGAAGGGAGAGGGAGAGAGAGCTGGGAACATCAATGATGAGAGAAAATCATTTATCAACTGCCTCCTGCACACTCCCTACTGGAGATCCAGCCCACAACCCGGGCATGTGCCCTGACCTGGAATCAAACCGTGACCTCCTGGTTCATAGGTTGAAGCTCAACCACTGAGCCATGCTGGCTGGGTTGTATCACTATTTTTATCAACATGTTTAGCACATAAAATAAAATATATATAGCCAACAGAATATTAAGCCAAGTGGCCTAAAGTGATAAAAAGAAGAAAAAAAAACATTTTTCTGTATCTCAGGTAATAGTATTCTTAGTTCTACTTCACTTTCATACACACACACACACACACACACAAAAGGAGGAGGAAGAGGAAGTAGACAAGGAGGAGGAAGAAGAAAAAGAAGAACCCATCTCTTACTTTTTAATTGGAGAATACGACTAAATTTTAAAAGTCCACAAGTTGCAACAAGGCTTCTGGGTCCCCCTCATCTCCCTTGAAGCCCCTCCCACCTCCAGCACAGCTCTGTGATGTTTCACAGGCTGAATACAAAAGGGAAGATATCTGCAGCTCTCTCAATTTCAAAATAATATGAGAACACTTGTTGGAAACCTGCTAAGTGCTAAGCATGTAACATGTATTCTGTTACTCAATCCTTGCAGTAAATCTATTAAAAAAACATTGCTTTTACGGAAGAGATGAGATATCAAAGGTCAGACATTTTAAGTGATT